ATCAAGGTGAATTTAATTTAATTTAATTTATTTTTTTTAGGCAATTGGGGTTAAGTGACTTGAGCAGGGTCACACTGATAGTGTCAAGTGTTTGGTCTGAGGCTGGATTTGAACTCAGCTCCTCTTGACTTCAGGGCCGGTGCTCTATCCACAGTGCTACCTAGCTGCCCCTGAATTTTATTTAAAAAAAAAAAAGATTTTAGTCAATACTTATGAATAACATTGGTCTATAGTTCTTTTGTATTTATCCTTCTCTGGTTTAGGTATTGATTATGCTTTTTCTCATAAAAGGAATCTAGTAAGATGCCTTATTAGTCAAATTTTGAAGAATTGATGTAGTGTTAGTAATAATTATTCTTTAATAGTTTGAAAATTCTCATATGAATCTATGAGGATCAGGTTATTTTTCCTTTAGTATTTCCTTAATAACTAGTTCTATTTATTTTTCTGAGATTAGATTATTTAAGATTTCTATTTGGTCTTTTGTTAGGTTGGGTATTTTATATTACTGAAGATATTCCTCCATTTCCTTTGTGTTCTCACTCTTCTTAACATGAAACTGCATAGTAGGTTCTAATTATTCTTTTTATTTCTTCTAATTTTTTTTTATTATTTTACCTTCTTCATTTGTTATTTTGTGATGTGATTTTTCTTCTTTATTTTAGTTAGATTGATTAAAGGTATATAAGTTTTATTAACTTATTTATCTGTTCTAATAATTACATTTTAGTTTTGTTACTTCTATAGGTTTTTTTGTGCTTACACTTGATCTATTTCTCCTTCAGTTTTAAATTTTCTCCTTTTGTATTTATTTAGGATTTATTTGCTCATTTTCAATTTTTGAAAATATACATTTAATGAATTCTCTCTTAAATTTTGTTAATACATGTTTCTTGGCATATAACTTTTCCTAAGGTCTGCCATAGCTGCATTCTAGAAATTTTGGTATGTTGTTTCATTATTATCATTTCCTTTCATATAATTTTTCATTACTTCTATTATTTGTTCTTTGACTCATTTCTTATTTAGGACTTCATTAAGTATCCATTTGGGTCTATTTTTTTTTGTTTGTACTCCCTGAACTGATAATACTTACTGTGTTAGGATCTACAAAAGAAGTACTTTTTATCTGTCTTTTTACAATTGCTGGCAATATTTCTATGGCCTAATATAGGAGTTTCTACCTATAATCTCATAAGTCTACCTAAATAAGTCTAATATGTCATATATGTGTGTGTTATATTATTATATACATGATATAACATAAATCTAATAATTTACCAATAATCTAAAAGTTGAGTATACCCAGAATTACATATATTATTTATTAGTCCCATTTATAAGATATCTTTTAGATATAGATATATATTTAGATATAGATTCACCATCAATTTGAATTCTATATGTTTCCTTCTGATAATCTTATTTTAGATCTATCTATAACTTATAAAAACATTAAAAATTTACTGATACTATTGTATCACTGTCTCTTTTGTCTTATAATTCAGCTATTTTTTTCTTCATGAAATTAGATACCAAGGCATTTGATGCATATAAGTTTTATATTGATGTTGGATTCTTGTCTATGGTTCCTTTCAGCATAATGTAGTTTCATTGTGTATCTTTTTTATGTTGTTAATTTTGGTTTTTCCTTTTTTAGATAGCATAACTATAATGCCTACTTTTTTGTATTCACTTGATGCATAGTAAATTTCATTCCAGACTCTCATTTTTATTTGCTGTATCTTTTTTTTTAAGTGTGATTCATGTAAGCAACAGATTGTAGGGGTTCTTTTTGAATTATTCAATGTCTCATTATTCTTTTGTTTAAATGTTATGAGTTAAGTTTATACTTTTCTCCTTTTTTCTCCACTACTTTTTAAAATTAAGATTCTCTTCCTCTAGAAAGACAGCAGTCTGTCTATTCAGTTACCTTAGTTTAATCAACTTGAAAGCTACCTATTTCCAGCAGCTCTGTTTTGCTCACCCTCAAGGGCTTCCCATTCCCATTTGTTACTCACCTAATTTTAGTGTTTTGTTTAACTCATTATTTCCTTAATCTTTCTGTCTTGTATCTGGTTATCTAATTTTTCCTCCATTTTCTCCTCTCATATAATTATTCAAGCAAAATCTCTTTGTTTCAACTTGTTTTGTTAGTTTTAAATTTTCATTTTCTGTGCCCTTTTCTAAAAAAGGATTTCTTTGCCTCATTCTATTCATCATTTATTTTTCCTTTGTGTCTATTCTAGACTTTATTCTTTAATTCATGGCCTTTATAGCTGTCTATATTTTATGTTTTTATTGTCTCTTCTATTAAGATGTAAGTGTGTTGCAAGTAAGAATTATTTTATTAATTGTATTTGTATCCCTAGGACAGTTCTTGGCAAAAAGTAAGCTTTTAATATATATTTGTTGAATAATTAAACTGTTGATTGAAAATAGAATGGTCATGAACTCTGTTACTTGATTTAAGTTTCTTGGAAGGAATTCCTCTGATACACCCTGTCCTTGGGATACCAATGGGCCAGAAAATAAATGTTACATTCACAAGACAAAACAATGTTTGAAGTTGGGATGTAGTGTCAGTACAGATTTCTTTGGGTTAGATATGACCAGTCTTTGCATTTGCATGTGTAAATACATTTTAAAATTAACAGAATCTTTTCTAAGGGGTTTCTACCCTGAGAACACCTAAGATAGAAAATATAGAAAATCCAAAATATCTTTGACTTTCTTCCACATTCTCCTCTGATATCAAAAAACTGAAAAGAGCAGAATCCCACCAATTGGGCAATGGTTAAACTAATTGTGATATAATAATTTAATAGAATGTTGTTGTGGTACAGTCATTTCAGTTATGACCAACTCTTTGTGATCCCATTTAGAGTTTTCTTAGCAAAGACACTGGAGTGGTTTACCATTTCTTTCCCCAGCTTATTTTATACATGAGAAAACTGAGGAAAACAGGGTTAAGTTACTTACCCAGGATCACAAAGTAAGTGTCTAAGTGCAGATTTGAACTTGGGTCTTTTTTACTCCAGTACCAATTCTCTATCCACTGGACCACCTAGCTGCCTGTATAAAATATTACTATATCATAAAAATTAAAAATATGAAGAAGTCAGAGAAACACTTCTAAGAACTAATGGATGGTGAAATTAGCAGAATCAGAAAAAACAGTATACATGGTGAAGACATCAATATAAATGGTAAAACTAAAAAACATGAAATTGAATGTTTTGTAATTTAATAACCAAGGTTGACCAGGAGAAGATATAAAAAATTGCACTTCTCTTCCTTCCTTGCAAATGTGGGACACTAAAAGTCTGGAACATTTCATATATATTCTAAGATTCAGTTGATATATTGTATAGCTTAATTGAACCATTTTTTTTCTTCTTTCTACTCAACTGGCAACAAGGGATTGCTCTCTGTGTTGGAGGGATTGATTTGCTTGGAAATGAAGATAAGGCAAAAACAAAAGATATCCACAATGTTAAGATAAGATTCCTTGGAGGGGGTTGGGGAGGGAACCTTTGTTACTTAATTGTTAAAAACATGAGGAATTAGAAAAAAAATAATGGCATTCAGTTTAAGGTATAAGGGGCAGAGGAAGTAGTGGAGATACAAATAAAAAGAAATTCTACTAGTTGTCTTGGGAAGGGGAAAAGAAGGATAAATTTGAAATGTCACAATAAAATGAAATCCTGGAGAAGAACAAAGCAACTGAAAGAAATCAATATCAGAGGAGAATGTGGAAGAAAGCCAAAGATATAATATTTTAGGCAAGTTTTTAATTTTAAGATCTCTGAAATGACAGCATTCAAGATTGAAATTAAGCTCAATGCAAATCTTCAAATGCCACCCTCTCCCCATTTGTGTAGAAGCACTAGTTGGATCTGTTGTGGAGTATGAGAAAAATTATTTTAGTATTTCACCTTTTGGAGAACTGATGAAGCTTAGGACAAGGAGGAAGTGAGACAAAAGAGGTAAACAGAAAGGAATAGAAGGAAAAGGAAAAGGAGAGGAAGAGAAAAAAGAAAGTGAAGGAGAGGAAAAAACTGAGGGAAAACTCACTTTGACTCACTATATCTAGATGCCCTCAGGCCATGCTTTACATTCCTTCCCAGTGCATTACTCTAAAATTTCTCTCCTACACAAACACACACACACACACACACACACACACACACACACACACACACACCACACATCTTTCTTTGCCTCTTATACTAGGAACGTAATCAAGTCAATACTACCATTGCTACCAGAAATGACATGAAAGCCTACTACTAGTTATGATTCCACTCCCAATCTCTGGATCAAAACTTTCCTCTCTATTCACTACTCCCCTATATCTATCATTATAATACAGGTCCCTTTGGAACAGGGACTGTGTCTGTATCCACAGTACTCTTCACAGTGAATAATAATAAATGTTGATTACCAAAAATAAAATAAAAAGGAAGAAAACCAGGAAAACACAATCAGAAGAAAAAAAGAAAAGAAGGGAGAGTAGGAAGAAAAGATTAGATAGGGTGAAAGAAGAGGACTAAAAGAAGAAGATGATAAAACGAGAAAGAAAAAGAAAACAAAAACTAGAACACAAAAATGTGCCACAGTGACTTTAAGAATTAAAGAAAATGTGCTGTATGAAATATCTGGCTTTCCCCATGAGGACCTTCAGAAGGTGGGAGAGAGAAAAATTATACAGGAAGGATATAATAGGCCCTGGACATTTATATTTTTTCTTGTTAGCAAATGGGACTCCCTGCCCTTGTCAGTAAGCAAAAAGACACGAGAAAATAAAACTTCTCAGATGCAACTTGGCAAATTTCAATCTGTAGAGTACACTCCAACCCAAAACCTCTAAAGAATGTTGTAGAAGAAAACTGTACAATTACAATCATGTAATTCATATATGAGTGCTAAGAGTGGGTTATTTCAAATATGAGTATATTTATTCCCTTAACTAAAACTGGAATAAGTAATAACAAATATTTTTAAAAGTAGATTATATTTAATACAACCCAAATTAACCCCACACACAAAAACCAACTGATTCTTTGAAGCACTATGAAAAGAAGAAACTCCTACAGGTCTTTCATGTCCTCATGGTCTCTCATGTCAAAACTTCAGTCCTTCACCCCCATTCCAAATGTACTAATGCATGGCTGATTGCATCTATTTCTGGTTCTGAACAGCCTCATTCATCTCATTCATATTGAGAAGCTCTCTCATGATCAGAGTCCTAGATACCCATGCGAAAGAAAAAATGTCTTCTCATCTAGTTCCACTAAGGCTTCTTATGAAGGAGAGCCAACATATCCATCCAGATCATAATTCACTATGCTCTATCTTCACTCCAGTTGTTTCCTTTGTCAAGAGCTCAGTCAAAAATGCCACCTCCTTTTCCTTCTGTTTCTTGGCTGCTTTGGGGGTGATGTTGATGTGAAAGTACTCTCCATTCTGATCATATCTAGGCCATTTTGGTAGCCCTTCACCATTGGGGTTTCTGGAAATGTAAGCAAGATTTTCTTTTAAATGATGATCATTTAATCACAGGTGGTGATAGTCATTAAAAAAATAGAGGGGGCTGAGGAACACATTAAATATGCAGAGACAAATTCCCTAATATTTGGACAATATTAAATTTTCTCCTTCTAAAAATCTTTCAATGCTTCACATAATAAAATAAGGCAGTAAACATTGAAGCAATTATTTTTACCAGAAAAAATTAAAATAAAATAAAAAATCATTTAAATGATGTAAATAAAGAAGAATCATAAACAAAAGAATTAAGTAACCTAGTGTTTGATGAACTCAAGAAAATAGATTACTTGAGGGAGAATCCAATTTTTGACAGTGTAAGGGGAGAGAGATGGTTGAATTTGGTTCCTTCTCATACCCTTACCTCAGTTAATATGTTAATATGTTAATATTAATGTTAATATGTTAATAATCAATATGTTAATAAAGCAATAACACTTGGGAATCCTTTTTTCCAAAAACTAGATATTTATCTCTGATTGAATTGGAAGGGCAATCATTGGCTAAGCAAAAACTGGTAGAGCCTTTAGGGTCCTTAAAATGCTAAGTAGCCAGTTTTGCAGTCCTTCAGGGAAAAACCCAAACTTTGAAAGAAAATCACTGAGGGGGATTTATCTTTCCTTCCTCCTATTGGACATGATATCTAGCAAAAGATCTGTTTGCCCAGAAGAGGAAATACATGGATTAATTGCAGAGTCACTTGAAGTAGTGAGGAGATATACAATCTTCAGATAAACATGAATATAGAAAGACAGACAATCAAGTGGTAGAGCCTCTGGCAGACAGAAAAAAATGTGGTCAAAGGATTCAAGAATAAGCAAGTTCAGGCTGTAGGCCATTGGACCTCAGTCTAGCAATATACCTGGAAGAGATAAAAAAAAGTTTATGGAATAAACTTTGTGAGGACTTCAAATAAAAGAAAACATATTGAAGACTGGCAGTACTACCATGATAAGTAGCTGTGACCTTATGTGTTACCTTCATGTGTATAACACTACTATTACATTGTAAATATATGTCTGTCTTTAATACAGATATCATATATTTTTGTAAAAGTTTGCTTGAAATTTATGGGAATAATATTATGTAGCCATCATGGTAAGTACATGCCTTTGCTAAAAGTTAATTTTAGCAAAATGTTCATGGGAAACATAATGGTGGGGTTCATAAATTGGAATTTTTATGATTATGTAAATTTTATGGTTACAGAGAGTACACCCCAACACAAGTAGGTGAGCATTCCAGAGGATTTTCTACATCTTTCACTGTATATCTCAGTAAGCTCAAAATGATTGTGACCTAAGTATTTAAAAAAAAACATTAAAATTAAAAGATATTCTCTGGAAGATATGGCTAAGAGGTAAACTCTTTACCAAACAATGGCTAGAAAGAATCACAAAAATAATTTTAGTTACATGAAATTGTTATCAGTCTTTAAACTTTTTATCATGTTTTGCATGAATAATGTAACTAGGATACAACTAAAATGATACAACAAAAGTACAATTAGTATAATAAGGGAAGTAGTACATTGGGGGGAGGGGTGGAAATCTTTGCATCACTATATCTAGGAAAGATTTCAAATCCAAGCTACACTGGGGTTTGACACAAATACAGAATACTACAAGTCATTTTTCCATAGAAAAGTGGTCAAAAATATGAACAATTCTCAAAAGAAGTTGCAAACAATTAACATCTATATAAAAGTGCTCTAAACAACTAATTGTAAGAGAAATAAAAGAAGATGGTAGAGTTGTAGGAAGAAGTATAGTCTGGCTATCCCATCACATTTCCTCCACTAAGATCTAAAAAAATGTACTACCTCAAAATCAGGTTGAAAAATTCAAGAAAAAAGTCAGTTGCTGTTGTTTTGTTAAGTCATGTCCAACTATTCATGACCCTCTGGACTATATTGTCCAATGGATTTTCTTGGCAAAGATACTGGAGTGTTTTGTCATTTCCTTCTCCACTGGATTAAGGCAAAGTTATGTTAAATGACTTGCCCAGGGTCACACAGCTAGCAAATGTTTGAGGCTGGTTTTGAACTCAGGTTTTCCTGATTCCAGGCTCAGTGCTCTACCCATTGAACTATCCAGTCACAGGGAGTCATTTTTTTCCATCCAAAGGTGGCTTAGGGAGACAGAGAGGTTGTCAGATATAGGTTCAGGGTATAACCAGGATCCTAGTGGACATGAAGCACTCCATAAACCAGGGGAAAAGGACTAGTACTAAGCACAATGGCATGAAGTCTCCGGGCAGCAAGAGTTTCCAGATGATCTCTGAACTAGTGCAGGGTACAGGAGCAGGGACCATCTGGAATGTCTGTCACCTGCTACCCAGTTCTAGGTCACAGGACCAGGATGGAATAAAAAAGCATCTTGCCCTATGGTGGCAGAGAGGAACTGGTAATGGCCCTTAGGAGTGTACTCTAAGGAATAAGTTTAGAATCAAATAGGATATATATGACAGTCATTCCAGGATTGGAGCAGAAATTCAGTTCTAACTTCCAGGACAGACTGAAACATGCAGCAGAATAACAACTGAAGGAATCTTAGATCAAAAGAAGACTGCAATTCAATTTCTCTGAACTTGCAGAACTGCCAAGTGGCTGAATCCAAATAAGCTATCAAACCTAAACCTGGGTCAAGAATTTGCAGAGCTCACAGGAATTCAGTGAGCCAACATCACCTTGGATAACATCACTGTGGGGGACCTAAAAGTTTCCTCTGACTGAACTATGAAAGCAGCAAAAGGACACAAGGGTGGAAGCTCAGCCAAGCATCCATTCTCTCTCCCACATACCAGAAGTGTGTAGATACAACTTTAACATAAAATCAAAATCAAGAATGAGGCTGAAGAGGGATCAAACAACAACACCAACAACAAGAACAAAATAATCCCACCAATGTCCAATTATGAGGACAGGGAAGCTCAAAACACAAAACTAGAGGAGAATGACCTCACAATATCTTTAAGTAAAGACTCAGAGATAAACAACTCAGGCATAAGTCTAACAAGAATTCCTGGAGGTGATAAATCAAGAGTTTAAAAAAGTGAGAAAAAGGTTTGTAAAAACCAAATAAGAGAGGCAAAAGAAAAAATGTGAAAAGAAATGAGAGCTATGGAATAAAAAAAATATTGAAAGAAAATTAACATTCTGGCAAAAATAGCTCTCTGAAAATAAAATTGGCAGAATTAAAGCTAATAACTATATGAAATATAAAGAAATATTTTAAAAAGTCAAAAAATTGAAAAAATAAAGAGAATGTGAAGTATCTTATAGCAAAACCATCTCATCATGGGAAACATTGAGGGGGAAAATGAAGAATTATGTGACTGCCTACAAGCCATGGTAAAAAAAGACCTTGACATCATATTTGAAGAAATGATAAGGATGCTTAGATCTTTTGTAACCTGAGGGCACAGTAGAAACTGAAAGAGTCCACCAATAAAGTCATTAAAGAAACCCCCAAATGAAAATTTCCAAGAATATCATAGTCAAAATCCAGAAAGTATAAGTCAAAGAAAGAATGTAGCAAGCAACCAGAAAAAAAGAATTCAAGTACTAGGCCTATGGCCCACTTGTGGGGCCTGAGAAGGTGGCCACAGCTGAGGGTGTCCCTGCAGCCCAGTGGGAAGGTCTGGGATGAGACGATGCTGTGGCAGAGATGGCCTGAGGAGGCCATGGAGCCCACTGAGGCAGACATCATGGGGCTGTGCCAGGACATGCTCTCCAAAATGGCTATGTACCTAACAGACAAGCTGACAGCCACGAGTGAAGACTATAAACTTCTAGAAAATATGAACAAACTGACTAGCTTGAAGTATCTAGAAATGAAAGATATTGCAGTAAACATAAGTATAAACCTAAAGGACTTAAATCAGAAATATGCAGCACTTCAGCCTCATCAGGATCAGATCACTTTAATTGAGGAGTGGGTAACAGCTCTTGAGCAGGCAGCTTACAAGTTGGATGCATATTCAAAGAAACTAGAAGCAAAGTACAAGAAGTTAGAGAGGCTATGAAAGAACTCATTAGCACAAAAACTTTAACTACAAGAATGTTTTATAAGAGCTGAAATAAGTGGGATGCATCTTATCACTATGCTTCAGTTCCTAAAAGGAGGTGGTGCTGCTGATCCAAGGAGAATCTCAGCCTCCACCTTTGGTTGGACACCCCTTGATGTCTCCTAAATCTGTAGCCCTTGGAACCTCATCTTCTCTCATGCTTCATTGTGTGCCCTAGACCAAGGCTCAGAAATCAGGATCAACCCTGTCTGCAGCAGACAGAGGAGAGACTCTTGTCTCCCTGTCTCCTCCCTTCTTCTCTCTTCCCTAGGGCTCCTCCCCCACTCCCTTCAAAACCTGTTCTTCAACTTAAATAATAAATGCCTTCTTATGACCTTCAAAAAGAAATTCAAGTACTGAGGAGCCTCTGTCAGGATCACAGATTATTTAGCAACCACAGATAGAAACAGAGAGCCTGGAATATGACATTCCAGAAGACAAAAGATCAAGGCTTCTAACCAAGAATAACTTAACTGGCTAAACTGAATGTAATATTACAGCAGGGAGATGGACCTTTAATGACATAGTATTTTTAAAGTTTTTAACACATTGTCTGGCATGTATGTGAGTAGTAAATGCTAGTTCTCTTTCCTTTCTTCTAATGAAATAGAGTATTTTAAGGATTTCTGATGACAATGCAAGAGAGACGTAGAAAATTTGACAAACACAGGAGTCAAGGGAAGTATAAAAAGGTAAACATGAGCAAGCAAGCATAAGTGACTAAGTAAGTTTAAACAATTTACAGTTTACACATTCCTATATGGGGAGATGATACATGTACCCCCTTGGAATTCCATCATCATGATGGGTCATTGAGGGAATTTAATGAGATAGAGGGCCCAAAAGTGATTCTGCTATGTTTTATGGTCTTAAAAGAAAAAATAGAAAGGGTTGGAA